GTGGACAAAAAACATTATGTTATCACCACTGTAACATTATTCAGAGGCATAATCTACTGACCTTTGACTGCTTTGTGTGCCTTGCTGATGCTAGTCACCTTTAAAAGAGTTCATACAACTGCGCTCAGACAATGGGAGAACATTGGGACTGCGTTTTTCCATCCGCGTAATATTGCGAAAATTAGGCCTATCCTGTCCCAAAAAGATGCAGAAAAATTGGTCCATGCTTTTGTTACCTCTAGGCTGTATGACTGTAATTCCCTATTATCAGGTAGCGCTAATACTGTAAGTCTTTGAAAACTATCCAGCTAATCCAGAACGCGGCAGCACGTGTACTGACAGGAACTAAGAAACGAGATCACATTTCTCCTGTTTTAGCTTCTCTGCACTGGCTCCCTGTAAAATCCAGAATTGAATTTAAAATCCTTCTCCTAACTTACAAAGCTCTAAATGGGCAGGCTCCATCATATCTTAGAAAGCTCATAGTGCCCTATTATCCCACCAAAACACTGTGCTCTGAGAATGCAGGGTTATTCGTGGTTCCTAAAGTCTCCAAAAGTAGATCAGGAGCTAGAGCCTTCAGCTATCAGGCTCCTCTCCTGTGGAATCAACTTCCTGTTACGGTCCGGGAGGCAGACACCGTCTCCACATTTAAGACTAGACTTAAGTCTTTCCTTTTTGATAAAGCTTATAGTAAGGGCTGGCTCAGGCTTGCCTTGGACCAGCCCCTAGTTAGGCTGACTTAGGCCTAGTTTGCCGGGGAACCTCCTACAATACACCATCTATAATACACCGAGCACCTTTTCTCCTTCTCTCTCCCTCTTCTTTGCTAACATTAACGTCCTATTACTGCAGTTCGGCTTCTTCTCCGGAGCCTTTGTGCTCCACTGTCTGGCAGGTTAACTCGTATCGCAGCTGTGCCTGGATCGCGTGGTTGTGCTGCTGCCGTGGTCCTGTCTGATGCCTCCTACTGCTGCTGTTATCATTAATCATACTTCTACTGTCATTAAACACATATGATTATTGTCACATACATATACTATCATATATTAATATATCCCTACAACATATTGTACCACAATAGCCGTAATTATTATTGTAATATTATTACTTAAATTAATGTTGTTGTAAGCTGTCATTACTGTTTGTCCTGCATCTCTCTCTCTGTCTCTCTCAGTCTCTCTCTCTCTTTCTGTATCATTTTGTCATACGGATTTCTGTTAATTTATTATGTTGATCTGTTCTGTACGACATCTATTGCACGTGTGTCCGTTCTGTAAGAGGGATCCCTCCTCAGTTGCTCTTCCTGAGGTTTTGACCATTTCTTTTTCCCCGTTAAAGGTTTTTTTGGGGGGTCCAAAGGACAGAGGGATGTCATATGCTGTAAAGCCCTCTGAGGCAAATTGTTATTTGTGATATTGGGATTTATAAATAAAATTGATTGATTGATTGATTGATTGATTGATTGACTGATTGATTGATTGATCAGGCTACAGCATAGGGTACACGTCTATGCAGAGTCTATGCCATACGTATGGCATTGATACAACGTAGACGTATCCTGCTTAATACGTTACAAGTAATGCATTCTTTTTCATAGTAATTCATAGTAACTTACTGATAAAATGTCAGTAATAATATTACACTTACTCCAAAAGCATATTCTCGTTATAATCTTACAATCTAATCTTGTTTTCACTACTATTTTTAATTTTACTCAGAGATCGGCGTCACCACAGGAAGTGAAGATACAGTATGCAATAAGCAATGTGGATACTCATGTGTTCAGTGAGAGTCATCACACTACAACAAGTATGTCATATTACAGTTACCTCCCAAAACAATCAACTTGTTACATCCTTACTTTGCTGTCACTCCCCTACTGATTTGAAACCAACAATTAACCAGATCCCAGGCATCATTTTCGTAGTCATTGCACATCACAGAGCAGCTGACTAGTTTGGAAGATGGAAACACTTAAGTGGCTGAACGTAAGAGATGTGTAAAAAGAGAAAGTGAGAAACCGAAACAGCAAAAAGAGAGATAAAAAAGAAAACGGGAAGATGAGAGTGAAATAAACATTACATCATGGATGTAACATAAAGGCATATAATGAGCTATGGATGGATGGATGGATGGATGGAAGACGGGGTGAAAGCGAGGGTGAGAGTTTTTGATGCAGACCCATGCTTATAGACGAGTGTGATGGAGTCTGCAGAAATGGAAGTGATAAACTCATATAGTCGGCATGAACGCAGAACTGATCCAGGATTTGTGGAGGATAAAGTTGGTTTGAAAGTGTTCAGAGATCAAACTGATTTTTATGGAGGCTTTGATGTGTCATCACAGACGGAAGACAGGGTCACTCAAAAACAAAATCTAGATACAAGTCCAAGAACAGATGCAGGACAGTGTGATGGTCCTAAAAATAAAATACCAGCCAATCTGACAACAGATAGCTTTAACACTGCCAACACAAACATACGACATGTGAATCGTCAGACTTTTAAGACAACACGGAGAAGACATCCTCCAGCTTTGGAGTTGTTTGAAGATGGATGTATTTCCTGTGTGACCGAGTTCATACTGGTGAAAGTCCTTGTAGCCCACAGGCTAGAGATTAACGTTTTGGGGGGTCTGTAATGCAGGAAAATGACACACAGAGGCAGCGTTAGTGGTGGCTTTAAGTGACACTCCCTGCAAATTTTGGCAAATGCTAGATGGGCTGGCCTATCTTGTGGGCTGCCAAGCCGCCACCAGCAAAGCTGAAAAATATTGTAAGGAAAAAAAGAAAGACCTGCGGCTGCGGCCCATTTGATGTTGGAACAGTCCACCTGATAAGGCATTACATGGTCCAAAAATTTTCAGTAGACTACCTACACTAGCCATGTTTCCATCAGCCTGTTTAGATGTGCATCTAGAAGTACTGTATCGGAAAATTATGATGGAAACGGCAAAATTCGAATTACAATCCCCTGATTCGCACAAACTAAAATACGCTCGCTTTAGCCAGGTTTTGGTTGATTGATTCGAAAAAATGTTGATTCGCAAAACAGGGGATGGAAACAGTTATGTTCGAATTAAGTCTGACATAGCGCACCTTTCTCCATGGTGATATCCACACTCCAGGTCGGGAAGGTGGCTGGTTGCCAACTGCCAGAAAATGTAGAAGAAGAAGAATGTGAGATTTGTTTTGTTTTCGGTTCCGCGAGTTTGTAGTTTTCACCAAAGTCCGTACATTTTATGGAAACACACAGGATTCGTATTTCTTTTAATGCGCATTTCCCAATGATTTGAATCACTTTTGGATGGAAACATAGCTACTGTAAGGTAGGTGCAGTGGTACCGGCCAATCGTCACCTCCACCCACCCTGTCAAGTGGATCGGTCTATCATGTCATGTCAGAGGTCAAGCAGGAGATAAATGAAATCAAGACAGAGTAGAGTACTTGGAATGTAAATCCAAACTAGATGAATAAAAGAGCAAAAAACAAAAAAGCTGGAGAAGAAAAGGTCAGAGAAAAAAGAAAAAAGTACTCAAGGCTGATACAAATGTAGATTGCATGGACCCAGTAGCATGTAGTCAGGTATTACACACTGCACATTTAAAAACACAAAGAGTTTAATCAGTAATCTCCTAAAAAATTAGCTTAACTCTGGTGCAGCTTAGTAGCTGTGCAAAACTACAGTGTATGTGGATACATTCACTGCTGGACTCTGAACATGAAAAAATATATACTGAATTTTACCACATTTAAACTGTGGATTTAAAAAGCAGTGCAAAGTTGCTGATGCGTCTCCAGATGTTTCTCTGTGAGTACAAATTAAAGTGAGGATCCACAAACAGCCAGCCAGAGACAATATCTGAAGGGATGAGTGATTTCTTCAGTTCACACACACACACACACACACACACACACACACACACACACACACACACACACTGCGTAACTTCATCTGGAAAACTGATTTACATTTAAGTTTACACAGCATTTAGGAGACATAAACCCATGCAAACTGCTCTGATTAGCTCATCACATAACCTCTGTTGACCTCCTGACCAATGACAGCTCTGCGTCAACTCATTATGACTCAGCAAAAACAAAAAAACGTTTACTTGGTATGATCGAAAAAGGCATGGTACGGATGGGCAGAGGAGAGGAAACAAGGAAGAGAAACAAGGAGAGGAAACAAGGAAAGGGGAGGAAATTAAAAGGAAACAGTTAAAGCTGAAAAGGTTTATTACACCACAATAGTAAATTGTGTGTGTGTGTGTGTGTGTGTGTGTGTGTGTGTGTGTTCCTTATATGAAACTCTCTTACACAGTGACAGACACAAACACACAGACTCTACCTGCTCAGGTACGCTTTACTGTACCTGTTCAGGTTCACTGTACTCTTCCTGCTCAGGAACACTGTACTAAATCTGCTCAGGTATGCTGGCCTCTACCTGCTCAGATACACTGTACTCTACCTGTACACTGGACTCTACCTGCTTAGGTACACTGTACTCTACCTGCTTAGGTACACTGTATCTGCTTAGGTACACTGGACTCTACCTGTACACTGGACTCTACCTGCTTAGGTACACTGTATCTGCTTAGTAGTGTTGTCACGGTACCAAATTTGGGACCCACGGTACGATACCAGTGAAAGTATCACGATTCTGAGTAGTATCACGATACAACGGCAAAAATGAGGCAGATGTGCCTTTTGTCATTTATCAAAAGATAAATCACTTTTCTATAATACATCAATGATATTTCAACGGAATAAATTACTTACTGACTTATTCATACTTCAAAAACAGCATCAATAAGTGATTAACATGTAATTATAACTACTTGCAGTAAAAATGAATGAATGAGACCCCACACCAGTCTTTTCTGTTAACTTATTTAACACTTTATTTAACACTTAAATACAGTAAACAAATATATAAACAAATCTAGCCTACAAGTAAAAAAAATAAAATAAATGTCACTGGAAAACAAACAGCATATTGAACAAATGTAGCACTTAAATACAGTGGAAACAAAGCACTGTAGCAGCATATTGAACAAATGTAGCACTTAAATACAGTGGTCACAAAGCACTGTAGCAGCATATTGAACAAATGTAGCCTAGAAGGCTTAGGCTATGAAAAAAAATAAAACTTTCAGTGCTAATATTCATCAGCTCAGCTAATACAAGTGTTTTTATAATTCAATTGCTTTCACTTCAGGAAAACAAGGCACACATATGTATATACTGATATACTCAGCAGCTCAGATGCAAGAGCGTTAACAGCCTTCAACTCCTTTATACTTCAGGTAGGCTACATTTTTTTCTTCTTTTTTTTCCCACAGGAAAACAAGGCACACAAGACCAGTATGTAAACTTTGGGTTAACCACTCAGCAGCATTAACAGTGCTTTTACAGTTTACGTCGCTTCACTTCAGGCAAGTTTTTTGCAAGGAAAACAAGCATATTCATGTTTTCTTGTGTCAACCTAACTCGTTTTGGGTTGCATATTGTCCCTGAGATGCTAAACACCCATTCTGAGGCGCAACTCGATGCAGAAATGCATAAGTATTTTCTTGCACACAATGCGAGCAGAGGAAAAGTTCCTGCATTCTGTTTCCACCAATTAAGTGGGCTATCCTCAGCACCAATCTCCTCCATTTTGCAATCGAATTCGATCTCATTCTGAAGTTTTTCCCTGTGTCCAAGTGTAGAGGTCTTACCGACTGACATCCGAGTGCTTGCTTCTTTACTTCTTTGACTTGATGCTTGAAAGAAGCCCTCCCATGTCTGACTTGGCCCGTTTGCTGGCTTGTTTGCTGCTCCCTGGCTCTGTATCTCCCTCAGGTTGTCGAGTGGTCTGTCTGGAGTCCTGGAGAGTACGTGCTTGCTCCAGCAGCATTTCTTTGACTTCCTGTTCCATTGAAACGAATGAATCTTTAAATCGAGGATCAAGAAATGTGGCACAGTTTAATACTTTTTGTAGTTCCCTGTCTTGGTATCTGTTTTATAGATCAACACTTAATTTCTCTTTCATGTCATGTGCCAGGTTGCTGTCAGATTCAGAGACTGTAAGACATGACTGTATCTCCCACACAAATGGCTGGACTGCAGAGACAGTGGGGTGTTGCTCTCTGCTCAGTGCATCTGTAAATCTTCTCAATGGGCCAAGGACCTCTTTAATGGTTTCGATAGTGGTGATGTCAGTATCCTTGGGCCACTTTTTCAGGTTTTCTGCCAGCACAGCACACACTGCTTGTTGTTGTTCTACAAACCTCTCCACTATGTCATAAGCAGAACCCCAGCGCGTCTTTTCATCCTGGATGAGTTTGTGGTTTGCCAAGTTCAAGCCTGTTTGCTTTTTTGAGAGCTGCCTGGTCATCTTGGATGATCTACTAAAAGCAGAGATGGTCTTTCGTAGCCTGGACAGGGTGGCAGAGACCCAATCAATGCGAAGTGCTTTGTCAACGGCCAAATCCAAGCTGTGCCCAAAACACGAAATCCAGGGATAATCAGAGAAGGTCTTGATGTTGTTTGATGTGTTGTCTGTTGTGAGTCCAGACATTTCTGAGATTTCTAAGCTCCACTCATCAATAATCTCATCAAATGCTTCCCTCACACCTTCTGTCATGTGGTCACTGTTTATTGCAGAACAACCTAAGCACCAAGCTTGCATTTCCCAGTTTGCTGAGATTGACTTAAAATAACAGCCATGTATGCTTCCATGGCTCTGCTGGTCCAGAGGTCAGTGGTGCAGGAGAAGTACTTTGACTCTTCAAGTTCTGACCTGACTGCCTCTCTTGTTTCTGTGTAGAGCTTGGGAATTTCATTAAACATAAAAAAATTCCTGCCAGGCAGTTGGTATCTGTTATTTAGCTTCCTCACTAGTTCTCTAAATCCAGACTTTTCAACAGTGTATATGGGAACTTCATCCAAACAGATAAACTCTGCCGCTGCCCTGTTTAACATTTTGGCCTCCTTGGAACTTTTGTCATACTTCTTCTGTTGTTGGAGTACTTCTGGTAGGGCTAAGGTGGGCTGCTTTGTTGACGAAGATACTGCAGGTGGCTTCTGAAAAGAGAGGGGAAAAAAAGTTAGTCTCGGAGCCAGACTTTCCACTGAAAAGAGAGTAAGGAGGGGAACTGCGCATTGGTCCGACAGCCCATTGGTTCGACATCCCATTGCTCTGACCATATTAAACTCATTGTTCCGAAGTCCCGTTGTTCCAAAATCATCATGATGCCCTGTGGTTAAGGTCTGGTTAGGTTTAGGCACAAAAACCACTTGGTTAGGGTCAGGAAAAGATCATGGTGTGGGTTAAAATGAAAAAGAAAGTGTCAAACACATAAGCCACGAGCCTGCTCCGCCTCAAGCCTTCCCAGCTGACCCAGAGCCGGTCGCGACGCACCATACGCCTGCCGCGAGCCGTTCAGCACTGCGGACAGTCGGAGTAATGGGATGTCGAACCAATGGGCTGTCGGACCAATGACATGGACCCGTAAGGAGACAGTCAGGCTGAAAGTCAACTCGTTTGGCTAGCGAGACTATCTTGCTAGTGACTTGTGCAATTGCTTGCTAGCACACTAGGCTAGTGTTAGCTAGCGTTAGCTAGCGTTAGCAGCAAGCTAACTAGCTAAGAACAAACACATGGCTTAGTGACATGGGCTGTTGTTAGCTAGAACTAGCCTAGGGCTCTACGCTAACCTTTTTCACTAAGAGCAGCAGTGCATCGGATGAACTCAGCTAAATTTTAAAAATCTAATTCACGGTGAAGGGTCATGCATATTCCATCAGTCACTTTGAAAAGCTCAAGGAAATAGATTTGTGGCTGGGGTATCAAAATAAAATAAATAAATGAATAAAATAAAAATCAACCAGCCACCCTCCTCCTCTGACAAGTAAAGAACAGTCCCTTATAAGTTAAGAACAGTCCCTTATCAGTGCATAAACCACACACATCATGCAGCCCGGATGGTATATTTTAGTACATTCCCTAATAGACCCACAGAGGGCTGGGTGCTAACAGTCACTGTGGAGCATGACACCAACAAAGAGGAAATTATTGGACCTGCTGGAGCCGGGCTCCTCGGTCGCCGGTAAGCCGTAATCTTGCGGTGGCCATAGTGCTCGGCCGTATTCCTGTCTGTGACCCCCGTTCAACCCGCAACTGGCAGAATTCACCTTTAGTTTATGCTGCTGGTTAAAATCTGTACTCGCACAGCGTGCTCCTGAATGATTTCTTTTGCTCACACAAACCTAACCCTAAGTGCTAGCTAACGTTAGCAACTGTGGTCTTTCAGAGTTTCAGAATCCCTGTTATTGTATTGACACAATAAGAAAATATCTTAGCTAATTCATTCTATAACAAAAAAAGGTATAATAAATACTAACCTCAAGCTCACTTTGAGTCTTCTTTAATTCCACTGCTAGCTCTGGGTGCGTCACATTGAGGTGTTTAAAGAGGTTCGATGTATTTCCCCCCTTGGCTGGTATTCCTTTTAGGCATTTTCTGCAAATGGGTTTTCCGTCGTCAACTGGCTTGTTGTGCTCGTCGGCCAAAAACCCAAAATAATTCCAAATTAAACTTTTGGAATTTGCTTTCCTCTGTAATGTAGGTGGCGCAGCAGCACCAGAGCTTGTCTCACCCCCTTCTGCCATGTGTAACATTACCTCACACACACACCTCACATGCGTGAAAGCAGGTGGCCAGCAAGCCACACCCTCTTGCGATTGGACTTTGAACTTATCCCACAGTAGTGGTGCCGTGAGGTACCGTAGTACTACGGTACTCCAACATGATGGTATCATATGTACCGTGGTGTTTTGGTACCGCGGTCTACCATTGGTACCGGTATACCGTGCAACACTACTGCTTAGGTACACTGGACTGTACCTGCTCAGCAGGGTAGTCAGAGACCAGCTGGTGAACATAGTGGAGCATTTAGCTGCCAGGTAGACAGATATTTCCTTCAGGAGTTGGTGGAGACCAAAACCAGAGCTAACAGAAAGAATATTGGACTGACATTCATCAGGTAACACAACTCCTGATGACTCATTATGTTGATCTGTAACTGCTGGATGTGGCTGGTTGATCACATGTTAAGTTTTTAGGGGAATATCAACACGTTGATCCAGGCTGAAATATCTCAACATCATTGAATGGGTCATCATGAAATCTAGTTCATACATTCATGTTCTCCAGAGGATGAATCCTACTGACTAATCTTATACAACTAATCCATCTCCTTAAAACTGTAAGTCACTTCACTGAAATTAGGTGAGTGTATCTTTTGTAATCTGCTGATTAAACTGAAAGATGACCATGATTAGTCTTTCCTGATGTGTAAATACTTAAGATTTATAAAGTAAATATCAAGATTTTTCTGATATAGCTGACTTGGCACTAAATAATACGAACATAAAAAACATAGATGCATCATGCCTGTAGTTCAGGTTAAATATCAGTCTTCTTCTCCATCTTTTGTTTGATCTCTTACTTTAAACAAATGGTGGTATTTTAGCTCATTAGCTGCTGCCTTTATTAAAAAACACATTTCAGCTCCTGAAAATGTCCCAAAGTAACATGTGAAATACCAGTGGCAGTCCACATATTTCCTCTCTTTCATTTTGCCTGCTTTTGTTTGAAACTCTGTCCATTCCTGATTATTATCCACCTCTTTATCTCTCGAGTGTCACCGTTTAATTGGACCCCCCCTCCCCCGTCCACATGGGAAAGTATGCAGACACATTTTGATTTGATTATAGACAGACGAGCAGGGCAAGGCACTGGACACGGCTGGGCTTTTAAAGAAGCTCAGATTTGTCTCTTAAGATTGAGGTCTCGCTACCAAGTCACACAGTTCATGAACCAATCAGATTGACTTCCTCTTCCTCTCTTTCCATTCTCCTTCCCTCCACTGTGGGCTGGTGCACAGACGCCCTCTACAGGCAGGAAGATTCACTGCATCAAACTGCAACAATATCAACATGTGTCCTGTTTCTTTCTTATAGATTCAGAGTTGAAGCACTGCAGCTGGATTTAACCAGTAAATCAACACTTAGGGTCCTTTCACACCTGCATTGTTTGGTCAGAACTTTCTGACCTTTCAGTTCGATCAGAACCAAAATAACAGGAGTAAAACCTCCCCAGATCAAACAGCCAAACCTCAGTCTAACCATGCTTCAGTTCATTATAAATATAAAATCCTTTTTTTGGACAGTTTGGAGTTTCAGACAAAATACAGGAAGTTCTAGCAAGCTGTCATCAGAGCCAAACAACAACAAAACATAAAAACCACCACAGCACATGAGGAAAGGACAAAACCAAATGGTAAACTGACATTTGGTCTGATGACTCTCTGAAGATTGAGCGAAAACAAAAACCTCACAAAAATTATACACTTGAATAATTGCATGAGAATGAGAGAGAGAGAGGATAAAAGAGGATGGGAGAGCCCGTCTACAGACCAATCAATGTCAAGAATCGAAATACAAAGCTCATGTACATGATGAGGACAGGATATAGGTCTCTTGACATAGGTTCTGAGCACCAGCCTGTTTTTCCAGTTGTTCCTATTTAGGAGAGAGGGTATGTGGTCATGTGAGAGAAAAGGGACTGCACCCAGTGTCTTTTTTCAGAGTGCTCTGCATTTTTTAGGCTGAGCGCTTCTAGTTGAAAAACTTTTCAGAAAGGTGGTTGTGTTGTCACTGTCAGTCCTTTGCTGTCTCGAACTGTATGACATGTCAGTCAGAAACAATCACAACAAAGACAGAAAAGTCCATTTGTGAGAGCTGATCAGCTGAACACTGAATGTTGCTGTTGAGTAGAGCTGCAACGATTGATTGATTCAGAGCAGTAGCATTGCATGTGTGAGGACTCAACATAAGCGCTTAAAACTGCAGCACTTCATGTCTATTGTGCCTCCACATGTAGACAGTGGTGTCCGCAAACTTTTGGCCATATGGTGCATCTGAGCATGACGTCCATATTTGGCCAGTTATGAACAAGAAGTTGAAATATAACAGCTAATGGAGGCAGAGATGTGAAGAAGATCATCAGCAGCTGTTTGTGAATCAAAGCACTGCAGTGACTCAGACATTTTCCCTTCTTCTTCTTCTTCTTCTTCGTCTTCCTCTGACTATAAGTTGGACCTCAGGTTTATCAAGCCGAGTGGTTCAGATCCATCCTTCATGTGGTTTCTTGAACCAATTCCCATCATGCAACACAACAATAGCTTCCAAATTCTTCAATTTAGACCATGAAGGTTTAGAAAAGAGAGGAGGACTCTGGTTGGCTTATTGTTGGATGTGTTTTTTTTTTTTTTTTTTAACTTATTTATTTAAACAATATCCACCAAGAGCAGGTGGGAGTTCCTGTGCCTTAATCAAGAGAGATATATGATGTGCTATTAAGGGATAAAGTGAGAATTCACGATGAGAGGAGAGAGGAAAGGATGGAGAGCAAAACAAAAATAAAAACAAAGTGAAGAGGAGAGAAAAAATGAGGAGGAAATGAATAAAGTCTAAAAAAAAGAAAATAAGGTACTGTAAAGTAAATAAGTAGAATAAGTAAAGCTGAGGAGGATGGGCAGAAAAACAAATACATAAGAGACCAGGGGTGAAGAGAAAAAACAAAGATGAAAAACAAACTGGAAAATGCATTTCCTACAAAAAGTACAGTGTGAATGCTGAAAGCTGAAATGCGGAGAACATAAATGAAATGCGCGAAAAAATCCTAAGGCCCAAAACTCTCTGGCACTGAAGAGAGAGAGAGGTCCAAACCATCAGAAACAGAAGCAGATGAAATATTTCTTTGCAAGGTCAATAATTTGAAGTAGTCATACTTGTAGCAACAGAAGCATTTATGTCATAAACAGCTAAAGTATTAGTAAAAGTGATAGCTGCAGATGGAAATTGAACATCGACCATCAGTTTCCCAAAGTACTCATTGACTTCACATTGTAAATGTATTGAAAAAGGCTTCATTTTATAAAAAGTAAAATTGCTGGACAAAAAAAGTAAACATGTGCCTATAGATATAATATGTAACAATTTTGCATCACAACATCTAA